GAGGAGGAGGCGGAGGAGGGCGAGGAGGGCGAGGAGGAGGAGGAGGAGGAGGGCGAGGAGGGCGAGGAGGGCGAGGAGGACGAGGACGAGGACAAGGACGAGCACGACAACGGCGACGACGACGATAACGACGACGAGGACGAGGACGGAGGACGGCCGGTGGCGTGGGGGGTGGACATCCACGCGGGAACTCGAGGCAGGCGCACCCGGCCGGCACGCACACACATTCATTCTAAGATGTGATTTCAAAAATGGCGGATTGCCCCTATGCCCGTTGCATACAGGAACGCAGACACATCCGACGGGAGCTGCTGCGATGGACAAAGAATATGGTCTTCGTAGTCGGTGAGTTAAATCGCGACCAACGGTATCCATCTAGGTCGTATACCTTTGCGATCGCGGAGAACACGCGTTCAACGGACCTCCACAGAACCCCCTTCGACTATCTTCTTCTCCGTTTCGTTTCCAATTCGCATATATCCGATAACTATCGCGACTCGAGGTAGGGGACTATCTTGACGAATATTTCCAACGCCCACGTTAATTCGCATTCCGCATGGCGAATCTTCCTATGTGTCAAGGATATATACCTACGTTCATGCAACGACTAGAATCGAGTATCTATGTGTGATACGGAGAAAGAGTGAGGGAGAGAGAGGGAGTGAGAGGGGGAGAGAGAGAAGGAGAGTATATGAGAGAGGGAAAGGGGTGAGAGAGAGAGAGAGAAAGAGAGAGAGAGAGAGAATGAAAGAGAGATCGGGCCGCGAAAGGTGGGGTGAGTCTCGGGGGTTTGGGAAGCGAGAGGATGAGGGCGGGAACGAGAGGGATAGGGGTCAAAGAGGGGAAGAGGGAAAGATAGAAAGAGAGAGAAAATGAACGCCGGTGGTGAGACCTGTTGCGAACCGAAACGCCGAATCCTGGTTGACTGTGAGCCAGGCGTGACTCCTACTCGTGTCCGTACGTTCAACAGGGTGGTTGCACGTTGTCGAGAAACAGAACGATATTTCGCGCGTATGTCTTGCCGCGCGTTGCTAAATTCTGCGACATTTCACCTCTGTGTACAATTTTCACGAAATACCAGTTGCCGTCGACATCCCGACAGAAATAGGACTAAACTTCCCAGACGCGAATTTTAGTCATCCTCGCAGTTTCGCGTTCGATCCGAGACTACGAATTTATAAGAAAAGGCAAGGAAAAAGAGAAAAAAAGAAAAAAAGGAGAAAAGAAAAATAGCGAAAAAGAAACGGAAGCCTTGCGCGGTTACGCGTGATTTTTTGTCCATCGATTGGTCGAACGATCGACGATTTCTTGGAAATCGGAAGGTTCGAGGCTAATTCGGTAAAAAGTGAAGAGCCGATAAAAAACGTTAGATCGATGTTTTTCGTCGGTTTTTCGACGTGGATCTTAAGCGGGCGGGTATAAGGCATGCGACGAAGGAGGACGAACGTGGTAAAGACGAGCTCGGGTAACAACTTCTACCCTTCCGTACCCCCGGAACACCAACCCCTCCTGGCTAAAGCCGCGCGCGTTCGGTAGCACCGACACACCGGCACGGCCACGACACGACGAACTACATAAGAGAGTAAGGCGCGCGCGGAGAATACTGCACAAGCTGCGTGCCTTGACCACAGACAACCGAGCGATCCCGGCCGCCGCCCGAAACCTTCTTTTCTTCTTCTTACTACCTCCCTTCTTCCTCCTTCTCCCTTTTCCCTCTTCCCGATCCGCATCCCTCTATTGCCCACTCGTCGCTTACGCCCCCACCATTATTCTCCTACTCCCCCTTCGCTCCCTCCCTCTGCCTTTGGGTTAGTCCGTCAAGAGAAGAGTTCTGCTACTCGTAGAAGGCGCGTTTCCACGCGCGCTGCTGTTGCGTGTACTTGCCGTTACGCTTCTTCCTCCACTTTCGTAACCTCACCCTTCGTCCCTCTTTTTCCTCCTCCTCCTCCGCTGCCGCCGCCACTTTCCCCCTCGCACCCCCTCCGTTACCTTTATTCCCCCATCGGGCTAGCTTCGTTGTCCCTACCTCTTCTCTCGTTCGCGTCTCTCTCTCTCTCTCTCTCTCTCTCTCTCTCTCTCTCTCTCTCGCTCCTCATTTCGGAACGCAGCTGCCGCTGGTGGTCGAGAAATTTTCGCGAGTTCTTCCCACCCCAACGATCCTTCCACCTCGCGACCACCCCACTCGCCCTTCGATTTCTTCCCGAACCCCTATTTCCACTTTTTTCTTCGCGATCGGTTCTCCTCCTCCGCCACGCGAAGATTCTAAAAAGCAAGGTGGTAGTGGCTCGTTTCCGAGAAAAGGAGAAAGAGAAAACGGAAACGCAGGGTGTAGGAGCGCGAGGAAGAGCTGCGTATGTGCGCGTTAGACCTGTGCCGGCGTACTCCTCTCGAGACTTCCATGATCTTCGGAGATCAACCAGTAAGCGTTCGGGAAAGGGTGACGAAGGGTAGCGCAGCAGGCTCGAAATCCGTTCGAGCCACGATACGACGAGTGCCTGTACGTACCACGTACCAGCCACCACCAGCAGCAGTAGCGCTTGCTCTTTCATTGGTAGTGCAACGTGGCCGAGAGAATATCGAGAGTCGAGTGTCGTTCGTGTCGGAAGGTATAGGGCCGTGAAAGAAATTCGAGGTGTCACAGTGCCGCCGCCGCTGCCGCCGTCACCGTCACCGTCACCGTCACCGTCACCGTCACCGTCACCGTCACCGCCGTCACCGTCGTTGTCATCATCGTCGTCGTCGTCGTCGTCGTCGTCGTCGTCGTTGTCGTCGTTGTCGTTGTCGTCGTTGTCGTCGTTGTCCTCGTCGTTGTCGTTGTCTTTGTTATCGTCGCTTAGTGTCGTCGAATATATACTTCGACAACGGAGTATCAAGATGTTGCTCTTTGCTACGATTTTGTGAACCGACCACGATAGTTCTGCCTCACGCGAGCAACCGCTATCGCGACCTGTTACGTTGCACGTGTTGCTTGAACGTGTCTCGCTCGTACGCGCGACGATCAATGCTCTGCTGCTGCTGCCGCCGACTATCGAAAGCTTTTGAAAATTTTCGAGTGCGGCAAAGTAACTCGTGACTCGCGTTCCTGGTGCGTCGCGTAATCTCGATCGGACGGGATTAATCGCGCGTAATCCTCCCCTCGATTGTGTCCGTGCGTGTGAAACAGGGAAAACACGCGAGTGGACATAATGAAGCGATGCTTGTTTCCATCGTCGTCGATTCGTCCCTTCGAATCGATGCTGCTAGCCGTGACGACGTCGTTTCGCGAGATTTTCACGGGATTTTCACGGGATTAAGAATGGTAAAGGATGCCGATTCGCCGTGGCCACATCCTCGCGAGGACGTCGCACGACCGCACGATACGAGAGATTACTAGGAACAAGAAGATCGACGCGTAGAGTACGTATATACAGAGTGAAAATATTTGCAGACAGACGTGCCGCTTTGACAGATAGCTACACCACGTGTACCACTCGGGGAGCATTTGTTGACGCTCGTTGCCGATGCTTTCGAGCTAGAGAAGAATATACATATTTCGAACAAATCCCCGCTGTGATGTATCGTGGAAATTAAAATGGAGAGTAAAAATTTGTACGTTACGAGATCGAATCGTTGGTAGGCCTATGAATTTCGTGCTCGTCCACGCGAGCATATACGAAGAGCCCGGAAGATTTGTTTTTCATATGAAATCGAAACAAAAAAAACAAAAAAAAAACAAAAAACAAAAAGGGAAAAAAGAAAACAAACAAACAAACGAGGGAAAAAAAAATATTCAACAACCGAAAGTTTATTTGCTCCCCCTATTGCTCGTTATATCGTGCAAGATAAACGAATACTTTGCAAGGTACATTTTTCCGCTCGCCTATTCCGTTCTTTTTCCCATTGTGCACCCACACCCCTGGTTTCTCGAAAACGTTCGCCTCTAAGGCGCAAGGGAGGAAAGGACCGAAAGGCAGGGGGTTGAGGAGGTAGGAAAGGAGGAGTGTTCGGGTGGGTGCAGTTACTGCTGATCGTTAAAAGGCGCATAAAAAAAGGTCGTGAGAGGGGAAGGCGAGAGGAAGCAGCGCGAGAAGTAACAATAAAAATTCGTGGGCATTCGTGTTTCGTCGCCGAGGTAGGAACGAGACGTTCAAGGGGTGAAGCGGCAAGAGAAGGAGGAGGCGGAAGAGGTGGCGGAGGAGACGGAGGAGGAGGAGGAGGAGGAGGAGGTGATGGAGGAGGAAGAGGAGGCGACAAGTGACGCATCGCGATGTCCTCGTTAGCACCGAGATTGTTTGACTTTCGGGGTCGCGAGAAACCCAACTCAAACTTCCGGGATTCCGACCGTGACTCGGTTGTTCTAGCCCGCGTTTCGTTCTCGTTTTCCCTTTTCCTTTTTCTTTTCGTTTTCGAGTAAGATGGAAAGTATGGAAAGTACGGAGAGACGGGAATATCGGGGACGGCGACGGTCGAGCTATCGGTCGCTTAAACACGCGCATAATACCGGTTGATTTTTTGTCCAGCATCTGTTAAACACGCTGCTCCACGGCTGCTCCAAGAGAAGGAAGGCGGAGGAGAAGGAGGAGGCGAAGGAGGAGTAAGGGACGGAGGAGGGTCAGGGGTTGAGAGGGCGAGGAAGATGGGAGGGTGCAGCGGCGACGGGTGTCGGTGCAAGCGCAGCGAGGGTGGCGGGTAGCGAGGCTCGAGGGTGGAGGTGGAGGATGGGTATGGCGGAGCAGGGTGCGTAATGAAACGATATTGAGTAGCCGTGGTAGGGAGGCTGGTGACGAAGGGTGGGGGTCGTCTTCAGCCCTCTCCGTCGATTGACCTCGCTTCGACGAGGCGAAGCAAGCCACGGAGGGGTGAGACGAACTGAGACGAGGCGAATACGAAGGTGGGGGTGAGTGGCCCACAGGGGCGGACGTGGCGAGAAGGGTGGTGTTTCGGTGGGGGCGAAATGCCGAGCGATCCTACGTGGCCTACCACCACCAGGAAGGGAGACCCAAGTTAAATTGACGAAAATGACGCGGCACCTTCTTTTTGTCTTTGCCTACTCTTCGTCGAGCGATGCAACGCCTTGGAACGCCTCCCGAAAAACTTCAAAGCGGCATTAGTGCTCGAAAGCACGACCTAACGAACCGCGCTCGAGAGAGAACCGGCAAAAGGACGACTTTGTGGTTACTGCGTGGAATGGCACTCTGTCAAACGACCCGACGACTCGATATTCAATGTGAGTTTTACTCGTCCGTGTCGTTTGATATATTCTTGTTTACGATATATACCGACTATTCCTACCGCGTTCCTTCCCCCATTCGATCCACCATCTCGCGAAAAACTATTATTTCCGCCTTCCGTTTCCGCGCCACGCG